CCTCAATTTTAAAGATTGTAACGGTAACTTTTTTAGAAAGTTAATGAGTATTTTTTAATCGTGATATTAACCTGTAACAGCCCAGATCCACCGGATATTGTCCTTTTTGGGCTTGTCCTTTTGAGCTTCTCCTCAAGGCTTTAAAACGTGTCTGCTAGGGGAAAGTTTCCACACCCATATAAATGGTGGTTTGTTGTCCTTCCCAACCAATGTGGGACATCATAATCCACCCCCCTTCGGGACCTAACGTCCTCGTTGGCACTCTTTCCTTCCTCCAATTGATGTGGGACCGCCCCAAAATCCATCCCCCTTTGGGGCCAGCGTCCTTACTGGCACACCGCCTCGTGTCTACCCCCTTCGGGGAAGAGCGAGAAGGCTGGCACATCGTCCGGTGTTTAGCTCTGATACCATTTATAACAGTCCAGATCCACCGCTAGCAGATATTGTCCTATTTGGGCTTTTCCTTTCGGGCTTCCCATCCCTTATACTATTGTTAATGAAATTTTTGAAGCTGTAAGGGTATTTTTGAAACCCACCGACTTTAATCATATTTATATTCCTAAGATTATTCGGATATTATTTCTAAGTTTTTTTTTAATTTATAATTTCTTATGTATTTACAAATGGAATATTCTAGATAAGATCATATTGATATTGTATTCAAAAGTTACGTATATGTTTTTATTTTAAATTAATTTGTGACAATATTCGGATAAAGTAGATATAGAAAGGAGAACATTTCATCTAGATATAAAGAATGTTAAAAGTTTGCCCAATATTCTTCCTTTTTTTTTTTTTTAATTTCTTTACCAACAAAAGTAGGTTAAAATGACATTTTATTTATTACATAAATTATAAAACTCTAAATTTTATATATTTTCAAAACATATAAACCCGACTGATTTTAGCATGTTTTGTCATTTTTTATTTCTTATAAGCGTTTTTTAGCCGGTGTCACATCTAAATTCAGCACCTGGTCGGCACGTTACGACACTGGCTTTACCACCTTGCTAGGTCATGTTAGACTGAAAAATTATCCCTATAGACCAAACCAACACGAGTCTTTTCATTATATTTTTTATGAAAATTCTTAGGAGTTCACCCAGCAAAACACGTTTAACTTTAGGATTGTTCTCAGTTAGAGGTGGTCTCGGTTCACTTAATGACTAACCTTTTCCTGCATCCCTTACAACATGGTCACGATAGTTATAAGATTGAAAATTCTCGGGAGTTCTTTTAATATGTTTTGTCCCAATTAACCTGCTTTCTAAGAAAATTCTCACGAAGACACCAAAAGAAGAAGAAATTAACACGATCGTTAGATAGTTCAAATTGATTAGGTTCTCGAGTCATATGATCTAAAATAATGCCCGGTGCTTTGTGCAATTAAATTAAATAAAAATGTATATTATAATATTTTGTTGAATTGAAATTGAAATAGTAATAAAATCCAAATCCGTTTCCTCGTTTGAACACTGGTTGACCTTGGTGATCGCCGTGGTGTGATCCCGTGACGGGAATCCGCATATTGCAACAGAATATGCCACGTGTACACTGTGTCTTTTCACCCTACCAATTATGCGGGTTATTTTATCAAAGCCCCTGCCCTCCCTTTTTATCCACGCTATATATATACCCCTCCCCTTCTCCTCTTCATTCCCGAATTCCTGTCTGTTTCTTCTCTCTGTTTCGGATCAGAAGCGTTTTTTTTTTTTTTTTCATTGTTCTTTCAAATCGAAATGAAACGAAACGAAAGGCTGTGATTATAATTCTGGATGGAATATTGATGAAGTTCTCTGTAGATTTTACCTTTCTGTAACTGTTCTTATGAGTGTTTTCCCATTTGTATTTCTTGTTATTGGTGTCAATGGCGGAAGTTGGACGGAGATTCTGTGTCGGGTATGCGCTTATGCCGAAGAAGCGGAGGAGTTTCATACGAGATTCGTTGGTGAGGCTTGCAGAGTCGCGAGGTATCGATCTTGTTCGGATCGATACGGACCGGCCGCTTGTTGATCAAGGAGCCTTTGATTGCGTTCTCCACAAGCTGTATGGTGCGGATTGGAGGAGGCAACTGGAGAATTTCAAGGTTGTGAATCCTAATGCGGTGATTTTGGATTCCCTGGATGCGATTGAGAGGCTTCACAACAGGATTTCCATGCTTCAGGTGGTATCGGAGCTGAAGATTGAAAATCACGATGAGTCGTTCGGGATTCCGGAGCAGATTGCGATTTACGATAAGGAGAAACTATCTGATCGGCGAGCTTGGGAGGCCTTGAAGTTTCCAGTCATTGCGAAGCCATTGGTGGCCGATGGCAGTGCCAAATCGCATAAAATGGCGCTCGTGTTTAATCATGATGCCTTGAACAAGGTTAAACCTCCCATTGTCTTGCAGGAGTTTGTTAACCACGGCGGCGTTATATTCAAGGTTTATGTGGCTGGACAGCACGTGAAATGCGTCAAGAGAAAGTCGCTTCCCGACGTTTCTGAGGAGAAATCGGACAGCGTCGAGGGTTTGCTATCGTTCTCTCAGGTATCGAACTTGACGAACCATGAGAGGGTTGATGAAAAGTACTATCAGATGATGCAGTTGGACGACACCGAGATGCCGCCGTTGAGTTTCGTCACCGATATCGCCAAAGGATTGAGGCATGCGATGAAGCTCAACCTCTTCAACTTCGATGTGATGCGGGATTCGAATAACCGGAACCGTTATCTCATAGTTGATATCAATTACTTTCCTGGTTTTGCGAAAATGCCAGGTTATGAGAAGATTTTAACAGATTTCTTCTCTGACATTATGCGAATGAAAGACAGCGAGCTCGTAAAAGCTTGGTTCGAGAATGATGCCTCGGAGCCGCCTGCCTTCGATAAAAGGCAAGTGAACAATTGTGCAAATGATTCTAGAAATGTTGTGATGCTTACTTGCATCAGTAATGGGGATGGAGGAGGTTAAACACTACTTGCAAGCATCATTTCTGTTTCTTTTTGACTTGACTTAGATTCTAATCCAAATTGAATTTGCTAAAAGCAGGATGTTCTGCTTCTATTCAACATCTGAAATGAGTTATAGTTTCTAGTTCATAATATGGTGAAGAACAGGAAGGTCCCCCTGTTCGCTTTACCTCAAATTTGCACCCCCCCCCCCACCAAACAAAAAATATAGCATGTCATGATTGTTGATGCTATCTACATTCGATCAGTCGCTTCTCTGAGATAGATATTTCTGAATTACTCTATTAAAGCTCAATAAAGTTAGATTTGAAGTTCTTTCCTTCCTTGAATAATTTAAGTTCTAGACTTCTAGTGACTTGACCGTCAGATTTTTATTGCATGACGTGCTATTTTTGGATTATATGTATGTATGTATGTAATTTTCTCGAACTTTTTTCGAGTTCATTTGGCATATCATCAAATGCAAGAGCTGTTCATGGTCCTGGGCCCATGAATACGGTAAGACCCTTTAAGAAGATGAACGAAGATAGGACAGAAAGATATGATGAAATAGGAATCTCTATGCCCCAGTAGCTGGTGGGGGTGATTATTATGTTATGGGGTGTCCTTATCTATCTCGCATCAGGCAAGTTAAATTCGAATTTCTTTGATCACTACTGTCAGTAAATGTGGTGCAAAAGATCTAGTTTCATTTCTTGAATGATGTCCTATGGTGTCTTGATACAACTTGTGTGATGTTAGGCTGTACAAACGAACTCGACAAACGCTAGGATGATATTACTTTTCAATTGATGATGCTGTGTTAGTACTATTTGTTAGCTTCTTCGAACAGCTATGTTTAGAGATAAGATTTGCACTGTAAATGGCATGTAGATTGCAGATAGTTTTCTTGCCTTCAGGTGGCTGTTAATGGGCGATTCTGTTTGTTGTGTAACTGGGAAATCATTTGATTACTATATGTGATATCAAAGTTCTAGGAGATATCTATATATGAGATGATTTTGCTGTCAATCTGAACTATGAACTCTAGATATTATGAGTATTGGCCTGGCAGAGGAGACACAATATTGGGCTTTGCAGCATCAAAGGAGGTAAGCATATGAAGTTTAATCTTCTTTTTCTTCAATTCCACTGATGATATTTATACCATTTCTCACCCTTGAAAGTTTCTTTGCGTTGTGCAATTTGTGATACTTAAATCTTCCTGTTCTCTGCATTTTTCTCTATGTAGATGACATGGTAAGCTTGCATTTCCAACAATGAAGGTTCTGAACCGACTATTTTGGAGAATCCAGTTTGTATGTATTCCCTTTGTGGTTCATTGAAGTTTGATATTAATATTATAACCATATTCCTTCAAGAGCCTGTATGAATCTATGCAAGGAAGTGGGTGGATAAGCTTGTTGATTCCATCTTTTTAGAATAGAATGAATGGCAGAGACGGCAAGCACAAGTGGCCGGATGAGTTTGTTGACATCCACAGAATAGAACGGATGGCGCACAACAGACTACAGATTCATGGACATTTGCACGATTGATGGCAGTCTTTTTACCCCTCAGATGTGTTGAGGATTTTAGGGAGAGGAGTCCCACATCGGCTAGTTGATAATGGATTTATAAGTAAGGAATACATCTCCATTGGTATCGAGACGTTTTGGGGAAACCAAAAGTAAAGCCATGAGAGCTTACGCTCAAAGTGGACAATATCATACCATTATGGAGAGTTCATGATTCCTAACATGGTATCAGAGTCATGCTCTTAACTTAGCTCGGTCAATAAAATTTTCAAGTATCGAACTAAGAAGTTGTGAGCCTTGAAGGTGGTTCGAGGGCTCTAGAACAGGGGTCGAGCCTTGATTAAAGGGGAAGTTGTTCGAGGGCTCCATACATCTCAAGGGAGGCTCTATGGTGTACTTTGTTCGAAGGGAGGATTGTTGGGAGAGGAGTCCCACCTCAGCTAATTAAGGGGTTGATTATGGGTTTATAAGTAAGGAATACACCTTCATTGGTATGAGACCTTTTGGGGAAACCAAAAGTAAATCCACGAGAGCTTATATTCAAAGTGGATAGGGTCCGTGATTCCTAACAAAGAAGCAAATTCTGTTAATTCAAATGGGAACTTACATCAATCACTGATGCTGCCACCTTTGAGGAATATTATATATTTTCCCCCTTGTCACAGGTGAATTGATCTGATTCTGTTCTTACTTCTGATTTTGATTAATTTGCTGTAAATATGTTAAATCTAAGCTTTATGTCTGTATCATTTTGCTTTTATCCAATGCTGAAGCAGAGAAACGTCGAGGAACCTACTTGACCGTGGACACGAGAAATATCCGGTCCCATATCGAGAAATTCTGTAAGTTTCTTTAGCAATTTCCTTCCATCAATTTAGGAACAATAGTTCCTGTTTTAGAATGTTATAGCTTTGGAGATAGCAATAGTTAGTGTTCATAAAAGGTAGCCATATTCTGATACAACTTGCCAAAAAGAATATAGAATAGTAGTGGAGAATTTTGGTTTTCATATCTAAGTTATGCTATTCTCTGGAAAGTCAAGATTTATCTGTTTAGTTGATGAATACAAAACGACCTTTAGCTACTTGAATTGAAAACTCTTTGATTACTGTAAAAAGAAAACAAACAAACAAACTAGTGGGATTCCTTTATTTGTCAAATTTAACAACAACAAACCGATTGAACAAAACCAGAATGGAGGAAGGGAGAATTGATTCTCTGTTGAAGGAGAAGAAATGTTCTTTGGAACGGTCAAGAAAAAGTCAATATTCTACTGAGAGATTCCAAATTGGTTGGTTGGTTGGAGGGGAGAATGAAGCAATCCTTATAAGTATGTGGAAACCTTTTTCTAGTAGATGCGTTTTAAAAACCGTGAGGTTGACGATGATACATAATGAGCCAAAGTGGACAATATCTGTTAGCGATGGGCTTGGACTATTACAAATGGTATCAGTGCTACCAACGAAGATGCTGAGGCCTCAAGGGGGGTGGATTGTGAGATCCCATATTGGTTGGAGAGGGGAACGAAGCATTCATTATAAGGGTGTGGAAATCTCTCTCTAGTAGACGCATTTTAAAAACCGTGAGGCTGACGGTCATACGTAATGGGCCAAAGCGGATAATATCTGCTAATGGTGGGCTTGCACTGTTACAAATGGTATCAGAGTCAAGCACCGGGCGGTGTGCCAGTGAGGATGCTGAGCCCCAAGGGAGGTGGATCGTTAGATCTCACATCAGTTGGAGAGGGGAACTAAACATTGCTTAGAAGGGTGTGGAAATCTCTCATTGATGACGCATTTTAAAAATCGTAAAACTGGCAGGGATACGTAACGTGCCAAAATAGACAATATCTGCTAGTAGTGAGCTTAGGCTCTTACAAATGGTATCAAAGCTAGGATGATGTGTCAGCTAGGACATTCAGCTCTCAAGGGGGTGGATTGTGAGATCCCAAATCGGTTGGAGAGGGGAATGAAACATTCCTTATAAGGGTGTGGAAATCTCTCCCTAGTAGACGCGTTTTAAAAACCGTGAGACTGTTGGCGATACGTAACGGACCAAAGCAGACAATGTCTGTTAGCAGTGGGCTTGGTCTATTACATTCTAATTTTTCGTTCAATCACCATGGTGAACGACCAAAAAAGTGACGTCGGAGTTGGCCTAGAATATTTGGGAGAAAAAAAAGTAACATGAAGATGATATCATAAGTTTGAACCTTTTCTAACTTTCTTAATTAATACTCTTCTCAACACAAAACTTAAAAGAATTGCATTGTCTAAAAGAATAAAAGAACAATGGTATGAAGATTTGAATCCTCCTCCATCACAATTTTTTATGCCAAAGAATGGCGTAGTCTAACCTTTTAGGACAATAGTTCCCACATGCTAAGGATGCTCATCCAGCCATACTTATTCCTTTCTCTCTACTAATAAGGAATAGATTTCCAAATGTAGCAAAATTTTTAAAATTTGATTCTCCTTTTCTTGAATTATACCAATTTTACCCTCATGAGCGTGTCGCAGCATGTTACGTATACTTTATATTTCATATATCAATAGTATATCTGATTTACGATAAGTTAATTGATATTTTTGTTAACGGATATTTCTATTAGTGTAATAATACTCATTTAAAACTCATTTCTAGGTATAATATTAATGTATCAATAGTAGTCTATGCTTGCTTAGGATTTGGAATTCGGATTCAACACTTGATGGCTTGCATCTCTTGCGATATGGTCACTCATTGTTTCTAAAAGTGAAAACTATCCCTACAGATCAACTCGAGTTATTTTAGCATGGTTAGTGGTGGCTTGCATCTCTTGCGATATGGTCACTCATCGTTTCTAAAAGTGAAGACTATCCCTACAGATCAACTCGAGTTATTTTAGCATGGTTAGTGATGGCTTGAATCTCTTGCGATATGGTCACTCATCGTTTCTAAAAGTGAAGACTATCCCTACAAATCAACTCGAGTTATTTCAGCATGGTTAGTCTTTACTTACATGCATTTTAGGAAAATTCCTAAGAGGTCACCAAACATAAAATTTCTCTAAACGAAGCACGTTTAACCATGGAATTCTTATGATTAAGCCACCAAAAAGGAAGGTGCACGATGTTGGTATAGGTAGTGACTTTCAATTCTTCTAAGCATTTCTTAGTCATTATATCATCATGATCGCTCTCGTTCGAATGTGGTTTCAATTCATTCATATACTCCTCTTTTATTCAACTGTCACACTTCAAATGCATTTTGAACGAGTATTAATATCATTGTTATGTTTATATGAATCCGGAGTGAATGTTATTCTTGAAATTGTATGCTTGAATAAATGTTGATATACTACTTAGGCACTAGTGATATACTTGAATTACATTTTGAATCCATATTGATATATTATTGATACATCAATTTTATAAATGACCATTGATGTATTATTGGCGTACTAATATACTTACAATAATGTTTTCTTCAATAAATATTGAAATAGATATACCAATAATACATTAACACTTATTATAAATACATCAATGAAACATCAATAATGTTATACTTCAAATGAATTTGGAATGATTGCTGATATATCTTGGATTCGTGCAGCTACAAGGACACGCTAGATTTGAGTCGTTTTCCTTGACCGTTTTTAATCTCTTAATATCTTATTGTTCTAAGAGTCTCCTGTTCATAAAATGAAAGAAAAATATTATCGTCATGTTTACCTTTGAATCTACGTGACGATATGTAGTCAAAGCCTCAAATGGAAGACTGTTTTAATTATTCAACGAATGTATTATAACTAACTATATATAAAATGTTGATTGTCAACATTTTATTCAAAGATCAATGACAATTACTCGTACGTGTGCACCACGATTAGTTAGTCTATAATTTTTTAAAATTAATCACAAGCTTACAGGCTTATGATCGGTACCTATGGTTACCCTATTTTGAGGCAAGTCATGTGTGATCTAATTTTGAACGTTTTACTGTGTGTGCATATCTAACCCCATTAAGAGAGTTACAAAGTATTAGTGATATTCATCATTTCAATTGATACTATGTCTAACGGCGATCTAAACCCAAAAACTCGAATCACTACAAAGTTAGGTGTAGGTTGGTAAATGAGAGACTTCTAGAACGTAGAATCGTATCAATTAGTCAACGATATAAATAAGACCTATAACCATTACCGAGAGTTCAAATAATTCATAAAATATTTAATATACGTCGATCTATCATTATTTTATCGATGTATAGTAGAATCTAAACCTTGACGACAATATTTTAGTCCTTATTACCCTCAACAAATTCGAAATAATTTATAATAATCATCTTGCTTGCTGCATTAAAACAATAATTTCCATGCCAACTTTGACTTCCAATCCAAAGTCAAAAGTCAACACACATTTATCTTCATGTTCTTTGCCAAGTAAATCTCTGTCGTTACCAAACTAATCACTGTTCTTTTATCTGTCTTCAAATGATTCGTTAATTAACGTAGCTGACACGACATGTTTGTTCTTTTTCTTAATTATTTTCTGTTTGTTTGGTGAGAAAATAATTATATTGAAAAAAATAACAAAATACATAGAGATTTAATGAAATTAAGTGAACTAATTAATGCATAATTCAGCTACGTTGATCAAAGCTGTTTGAAATTATTATGAACACTATAATTTAAAAGAATATATAAGAACCACCAAGCTATGATAATCCTTCAATGTATAAACTCCTCCCCATTTGAAAGCTCTTATGAATCAAATTGTTGATCTGCAAGAAATAGCAAGAAATTAAATCAAAATAATAATCCCGATAACGTTATAGATAACAAAACAAAGAAACATATGGGTGGATGTAGTGTTCGGGACAACTCCCGTTAGCTAAGTAAAAGACACTATCTCTGTTGATACGAGACATTTTGGGAAACCAAAAGTAAAGTCAAGAAAACTTATGTTCAAATTGGATGATATCATACTACTGTTGACGTTCGTCCTGATCTTAACTTAACTATGTCAATAGAATCCTCGAAGATACAGTAAATTATTCGGGATAATAAGAAACTAATCGTAGAAGATCTTGGATATATATAAGTAAAAGATATTATCTCTATTGTTACGAGACATTTTGGGAAGTTAAAAGTAAAATCACGAGAACTTATGTTCAAAGTAGATAATATTATACTACTGTACACGTTTGTCTTTATCTTAACTTCGCTATGTCAATAGAATTCTCGAAGATATAGAAAGCTATTTTGGTATGATGTGCTCGATAATAAGAAACTTACCGTAGAAGGTTATTCCAGTATGATTCACTTGGTTCGTCCTCGTTCATCAAAGACTCCAAGCTATCAAAAATTGAAGAAGATGAAGAAGGTGAGTTTGAATTGGTGGAGCAACCCAATGGATTTGTTTCACTCTCTGAAGTCAATGGAGGAAGAATTGGATAATAATTCTCAACTTGAACATAATCTAAATTTTCCATTTCTTCCATCTTAGCTTTATTCTTGTCCTCGTATTCAAAACCCGACCCCGACATGAACCCGCTCGTAAAACCAGCTTGAAGCTGGCTAGAGTTAGGGTTTTGGGTCGAAAAACTAGCTCGAGACGGGTTAGAGTTAGGGTTTTGAAGGCGATCGAGGGGGGTGCCGGGTAGTGCTTGAGAAGGTGTGGTAGGGTTTAGAAGTTGGCATAGATTTTGAAGTAATTGGAGCTTGACTAGTTCTGCTTGTAACATGAGATGATCATTGTTTAGATAATTTGCTATCCCATTGAACAATTGAGAATTGTTGAGCAAATGATTTAGGTCTGTTCTTGGCTTGTGAGTGTTCGGATCGATACCCATTTGTAGAAGCTTCTTCCTCAAATGGGTATTCCAAAAGTTCTTGATTTCATTGTCTGTCCTCCCGGGAAAATGGCTAGCGATTTTCGACCACCTGCACGTTATTAAAGATTAAATCTATCGTAACCTAATAATTAGTATTGATCAAGAGAAAATAATCAAAACCCGTTTTCGAACATAGATTCATTTCTATAAACCCACAAACAAGAAGTGAAAGAAGAATATAGTAACGACTCAAGTCCACCATTAGCAGATATTGTCTGTTTTAGCCCATTACGTATCACCGTCATCCTCACGGTCTCCACACTCTTATAAGGAATGCTTCGTTCTCCTCTCCAACCGATGTGAGATCTCACAATCCACCCCCTTGGAGGTCAGCGCTGGCACATCACCCGGTGTCTGGCTCTGATACTATTTGTAATAGCTCAAGCCCACCGCTAGTAGATATTGTTCGCTTTGGCCCGTTATGTACTGTCGTCAGTCTCACAGTTTTAAAACGAATCTACTAGAGAGAGGTCTCCACACTCTTGTAAGGAATGCTTCGTTCTCCTCTCATATCGATGTGGGATCTCACAATCACCCCCTTGGGGGCCAGCGTCCTCGCTGGCACATCGACCGATATCTAGCTCTGATACCATTTGTAACAGCACAAGCCCACTGCTAGCAGATATTGTCAGCTTTGACCAGTTATGTATCGCCGTAAGTCTCATGAGAGGTCTCCACACTCTTATAAAGAATGTTTCGTTCTCCTCTCCAACCGATGTAGGATCTCACACATACACACACACATATATACAAACCTGTTCCCAAGAACTGAATGAAGCTTAATAATAGCGGATTCTTCTTCTTCCGAGAACTTCCCTCTCTTAATATCAGGTCGAAGATAGTTAGTCCATCTCAACCGGCAACTTTTTCCACACCTATTCAAACCGGCAAGCTTCGGGAGATTCCTCCAACTTCCATGGCCATTTCTTGCCACAAAATCAATCAATTTCTTGTCTTCCTCCGGCGTCCATGGCCCTTTCTTGACACCAATTTCGTCACAACAAGGAGATCGACCCATTTTCAAGCACAAAAAACCCGACAAGAAGAGATGTGTTCTAATTTGTTTTGGTTAAGGTAAGGAAGATAAAATGGAGTTGGTTTTATAGAAGAATTAATGGCTCAAAAGATGGGTTTTTTTCAAAGTGATGATATCATGGTTGGCTATGAAGAGAGTATGTTTCCGTTTTCAAGTTTAATATTTTCTTTTTGGCTTCAAAATTGTTGGATTAGGTATACTTTTTATTTTTTATATAATTATAATATAAGAATGGTATATCGTAGACGATAGCGTATACCGTTGATTAACCGTGTCAATTTATAAGTAGTTGTTAGGGCTCGTTATTAAAATAAAATAGATGAAATTAATAAAAATATCCATAAATTTCGTATTTTGTCTAAAAAAAATACATATGAAGTTTCAAAAGTTTCAATAATATTCTCGAGAATGTCATTAGGTTGATGAAAAGTTCGAATTTTTTTTTTATCTTGATATATGAATGTAAATGGTCTATTGGCACGTGATCGGTGATCTTTTTTTAATGTACTTTTGAAAGTTTATTAGTATTTTTAAAACGTGGTATGATTATTTTTTAGCACTAATAAAATTTTAAAAAATTTAATGGTATTTTTGAACAATTTTGAGAGTTTGAGGGTATTTTTGAAACAAAGTATTAATAATTTCCATTCAAACCGTACAAATATTTTTTAATTTTTTTTTAAGATATTACATTATAAAAAAAGAGGAAGATATTCAAGCTAACCAATAAGTAGAGGTGTACATAGGTTGGATTCATTGTCGAATTGTTTTTTTTAATTATTTAAATTTTTTTGTTTATCCATTGTGTTACATAAATAAATAAAATCACATAAAATTAAAATATATTCACTAGTCACAACACATCACTAGCATCAGTTACAAACGTTAAATATTCTTAATTTTTCATCATAATCGGGTTGGGTTGAATTGTAATTTTATTTTTGGGTTGGTTAGGTTGACTCGACCAAAAAATGTTAACCCGAGAACCAACTCGAATTTTTCGATTTTTAAAAAATTTAACTCAACCCAAACTAAAAAAGAATTTGGTTTTGACTGGATAGTTCAAGTTGATCGAGTTATTGGATCATATTAACACTGGTTAAAGCATATGCTCTCGACCTAAAAGTCGAAACTTACTTTTCAGTAGCTCAATCATAAGAACTCTTGAGTTACCCGTACTTAGCTTGGATCAATTTTATGTTCGGTGACCTTTTAAGAATTTTTCTAGAAAGTCTGTGACTGAGGACCTAATATGTTAAAAGAACTCGTATTCGTTTTAGCTTGGATCAATTTTATGTTCGGTGACCTTTTAAGAATTTTTCTAGAAAGTCTGTGACTGAGGACCTAATATGTTAAAAGAACTCGTATTCGTTTTAGCTTGGATCAATTTTATGTTCGGTGACCTTTTAAGAATTTTTCTAGAAAGTCTGTGACTGAGGACCTAATATGTTAAAAGAACTCGTATTCGTTTTAGCTTGGATCAATTTTATGTTCGGTGACCTTTTAAGAATTTTTCTAGAAAGTCTGTGACTGAGGACCTAATATGTTAAAAGAACTCGTATTCGTTTTAGCTTGGATCAATTTTATGTTCGGTGACCTTTTAAGAATTTTTCTAGAAAGTCTGTGACTGAGGACCTAATATGTTAAAAGAACTCGTATTCGTTTTAGCTTGGATCAATTTTATGTTCGGTGACCTTTTAAGAATTTTTCTAGAAAGTCTGTGACTGAGGACCTAATATGTTAAAAGAACTCGTATTCGTTTGTGGGATAGTTTTCGTAGATCAAATAGTCATGACTAACGATAATATCGGAGCTATCAGGTGCTGAATATAGATTCCGAATCTTAGTCGTTAAGTTTGGGCATGGGTCAGGACAGGACACGTTCGTTTTATTATTATTATTTTTTAATTTAAAGAAAAACATGAAACAACAAGCTTTGTTGGCAGATTTTGGGACAGGAAATCAACCATCTTAACCATCTATGATTTCAACAGTAAATTTTGAGTAGTTAATTAGGAACACAAAACAATTGGGATTTGACCATCTTTTAAATAATCATATTAAAGTAATCATTTTTTTTATTTATTTAATTTTAATTTTTAAAGAGACATCTATGAACGTTTCATTTGATACTTTGTATGGTTCTCGATTGGATCATAGCTAAATAAATATAACATCAATATTGACTCAAATTTCGATGATCCGTTCTTTCACACGTTAACAACCCTCGCTCAATTTGAATTCGACACCTAATGACTATTGCTATGAGATCTCACATCGGTTGGAGAAGGGAACAAAGAATTTCTTATAAGGGTGTGGAAACCTCTCCCTAATAGACGCGTTTTACAACTGTGAGGCTTACGGCGATACGTAACGAGCCAAACCAGAAAATATCTACTAGTGGTGGGCATGTGCATTCCTCTACTTGGAAACTATCCAGAGTCATTTCAGCATGTTTTGTCCTCACTTATATGCATCATAGAATTGAGCCACTGAAAAATGTGTACCTTGTTGGTGTAGATAGTAATTTTCAATTCTTTTAAGCCTTTCATCCTCAAAATCACTTTCATTCAGTTGTACTCTCAGTTCATTCATTTACCTCTCATTTACTCGGGTGTCACACACGACAGTTACTGAGGTAAAAAAAAAAAAAAATTACATTTCTAAACTTTAAAATTATTTCAATTAAAACCTCAAACAAATAACATCAATTTAATTAATAAATTTTTATAACTAAACTCATAGATTCATTTTAAACTCAACTCAAAATCATGTAAATAAAATTATTCTTCTCCCAAAATTTCAAAAAATTATGCGGTCGTTCATAGAGAAACCGCTCAGAAAGTCATTAGTATCCATTAAGATCCCACATTTCTATTAAATATTAGGTAAATTCCAACGAACGAAATTTCAACAGCGAATCTAAATTGATTCAGTTATATAACTTTAGGGTATAATTTAAATTCCGTTCGATAATAATAATAATAATAAATTGTATGAAGGAATGCCTCATTGCAAAAGTCATCAAATTTGTCATTTTATGATTATCCTTATTAAGCCATCAACAAAGAATTCATCTCAAATTCTAAAATAAATTTTAAAAATTGATAACAATTATTGAGTCTTTTAATTTCCTAAAAATAAATAAATAAATAAATAAAAACCCAATGAACCATATAGTTTGAGACATTTATGTGTACCAAACCTTACCAAACTGTGTAGAATTGAAGCTATCAGCTTCACATTTGTTCTTCAATTTTCAAACCTCCAACTGCCTTCACTTAATTCAAATTCAAACAAATTTAATAATAATGTTCTTGTTTTATATTGTAATTTCTTAGCAAAATAGTCAAATTCCTTCGATCGAAAACTTCTAGAAGTGAACGGAAGTAAAGGGTTTCAATCTGTTTTTGTCTCTAAACTTCTCGTTCTAAATTTGAATCTTTATGTATTTCGATATTATCATTGATATCAACCGTTTGGGTTCGCTAGAAAAGTGAATCTGAGAGACGTCGGAGTAAAGGAGAGTACAAATGGTTGATATCCATGAATTTTCTTTTCGATGGCTCAATCATAGTAACTCTAAGGTTAAACGTGTTTTGTCTGGAGCAATTCTATATTGAGTAACCTAACCTCCTGAGGACAAAACATGTTGAAAGGACTCGTGTTTGTTTATGGGGATAGTCTTCACAGTGAGTAACGTGACTATGTTGCAAGGGAATGTTAGGACCATTAGATGCCGATTCCAGATTCTGAATCCTGGGTATGAGTTATGACAAATAGAACTACGTCCACTTATATTTTTAGCTTCCCGGAGATTTGGGAAGACTTACGATTCAAAGAACGAGCGTAAACCCATCATCACTAGCACTAACTTCATAAAAAGGTTCGTGGAGATTCATGCAGGCAAGAAGTCTATCACGCCAATTTTAGGAGAAGGAAGCTTAAGCTTGAAGTCGAATCAATTGAGCGTTTTAGGGTAAGACCCAGATCTCCGTTAGAGAAAATTTCCATTTTACAATAAAAGTTACCCCACGATTCTTGTTCTTACTGTTCCATAGTAAAATTCGAAGAAACTTTCACGAACCGCTCAAAAGTCGAAAATAACCGTACCTAAACTGTAACAAAAATATCGACATTTTAGAACCTTAGTTGCACGAACTTATTACTGATAAAATATCTGAAAGTTCAGAATTTAATTAAACAAAATTAACGATAATCGAGTGGATAAATATTAACGAAAGTAAATGTAATAAGCCTCCTTAAATCTTTGACATAATCTCAGTTGGTATTGACTTATTAATTTATTCATAGTTAGATAACGCCTTGAATACATGCAGCTCATGGAGGGTAAGCTCCATACTTTATTGTAATTTTATAATCTATAGTTTTTATTTATTCCCAAACCTTATTATAATTTTATAATATATAGTTTTTATTTATTTGGTTGAAGCAAGGTATCAACACATATGAGACAGTGAGAAAAATGACAAAAAAAAGTCAACCTTTCTTACATCATTAATGCCTTCCTTGACTATCTTAATAAAGTGGGGATTTATATATATATATATATTTATTTTTATTTTTATTTATTATTATTACTTTTATGAAGAAGATTAATTGTTAGGTGGGTTTTTACCAAAGTTGTATGACTTCCTTGGTAGACTTTGGATTTTTTTTCTTAAATTAATAAAATAATATTCAACCAAATATGAATAAATATCGAGATTTAATTAATACATAAATATCGTAAATGATAAGATACCATCGGTTATCCCTCGACCATCCAACCAACATGAAATTTGTATGCTAAGATCTATAAACCTCCCTAGACCATGCTCGTAAAGGCTAAGCTCTGTACGATGTAGAGGAATTATGTAAGCATGTATGGAGGTTGTTTTGCTTCGTATATTATACCATGATTATAAGATATGGGGACCCTATGCATTTTTGTATGATACGTGCCACTATGACATGTACGGACGCGTATAATATGACATTATGTTTACGATGATGTAATGATGGTCTTTCCCTCCATGGTATTCGGCATAGAGCTCATTAGCGAGTGCTAGCTTGATGAACCAGGTGTTAGGAATCACGAACCTCCATAAAGGTATGATATTGTCCACTTTCTTTTGGTTTTCCCAAAATGCCTTATACCAATAGAGATGTATTCCTTACTTAAAACCCATGATCCGATCCTGAATTAGTCAATGTGGACTCCCTTCCAACAATCTTCAATAGCCCTCCTCTCGAACAAAGTACACCATAGAGCCTTCCCTGAGGCCTATAGAGCCCTAAATAGTCTCCCCTTAATCAAGGCTCGACTCCTTTCTCTAGAGTCCTCGAACAAAGTATACCATTTTTTTCAACCTTTGAGTCACTTTTGACTATACCATCGAAGCTCACAACTCGACACTTGAGGATTCTATTGACATGACTAAGTTAAGAGCATGACTGTGATACCATGTTAGGAATCATAAACTTCCACAATAGTATGATATTGTCTACTTTGAGCAAAGCTCTCATGGATTTACTTTTGGTTTCCTCGAAAGGCCTCGTACCAATGGAGATATATCCTAGCCATTGTGTGACTCCTCCTAACAATTCTCAACACTAGGCCCAGAGATGTGACCCCGCCTTGTGGACCCATGCTCGTGTAGGTCACATGTAGGGAAGTACTACAAATCCAACTTTGTCCGAAGTAGAAAGCTACTAAGGTCATCATATGCTATGTTAGAAGGGACCCTATAAGTCCCACCATGTTGCATATATTTGAATTTTCCAACCCCAATAGTGAGATTACTTACTGAGTAGTTCTTATAATATTCAAGTCATGTGTCACTCTTACATTTCAAGTAAAGGTAAGGCACCGCTGTACGAATGACGGGGGAGTCGACTTGAAAACCATGGAACTTGTGTTAGGATCGTTGCATTTTATTTATTTTGTAGCTCTAAGATTAGATCAATGTATCATTTTATTCTTTTGTTTGTTTTGATTAAAATTTCGCGTGGTTTATCTTTCCATTGTTTTGTTTTAAGACATTTATTATGAATGTTTAAGTCCATAGCAACATTTTATGAATTATTTTAAATGAATGTTTCCGCACTTAAAAGTCACGTCATGCATGTAGTAGCGGCTCTATTTACCTAGAAATTAGGGTCGTTACAATTTTTCTCACGTGTTTATATTGATGACATAATACTAATGGTGAATTATATAAGATTTCACTTTAACGTAAAATGTTGACTACATAAGAAATTTCAAACGAATAATTTGGAATGACTCGGTATATATCTGAAAAGTGTTTCAAATATAAATTAGTCTATCACTTTTTATTACGAGAATAGTGATACAGAGACTAATATTAAGAAAATCAAAAAACATCAATGTATAGGAAATCATATTGAGAGAGACAAAACATCGTAGTAGTCACCAAGATGGCTTTTAATGACAATAGTTATTCTCCTTTTTATATACTAGGACATAAAAGCGATCACGAACATAGTTATCTTCGAAAATAGTTTAACCTTAATCATATACGCAACAAGCAAACATAATGTCAACACGAATATAACTTAGTTCTTAAAGCATCTGTAAGAGCCCGAATCCATTGCTAGCAGATATTGTCCTCTTTGGGCTTTTCCTTCAAGGTTTTTAAAACGTGTCTATTGGGGAGAGATTTTCACACATTTATAAAGAATGTTTATTTGGTTCCCCTCCCTCCCAATTCAAGCCCAGTGTCCTTGCTGGCACTCATTCCTCTCTCAAATCGATGTAGGATCTCACAATCCATCCCCTTCAGGAACCAGTGTCCACCTCCCTTCGAGGCTCAGCGAGCATCCCCTTCAGGAACCAGTGTCCACCTCCCTTCAAGGCTCAGCATACTCGCTAGCACACTGCCGTGTTTGACTCTGATATCATTTGTAACATCCCAAGTTTACCACTAACAGATATTGTCCTTGTTGGGTTTTCCCTCTCGAGCTTCTCCACAACGTTTTTAAAACGCGTTTGCTAGGTAAAAGTTTCCACACCCTTCCACTCTCCAACCGATGTAGAATCTCACGGCATCTACTCATATTTATCGTGTTTAAATAAACTTACAAATGTATATAACCAAAAAATACATTTAGAGTCTACATTTCCCTAACATGGAACAATAGATATATAAAGTAATTGCCAAATGTATAGTGTTTGAAGCCATTCTCTATTATGTATTATCCTTTATTATCAGAGATAAACAAGCACTTCAATGTACATAATGTGGAAACAAATGTTCAATAAATAAATAAATAACTATGAGAGAGTAAAATAAAAACTAAATATTAAGCACCCAATAGAAAATGTTTTAACATGAGTTGTTTGGTTGTCCTATGTAACATGGATGTCTGGTTCACTGTCGTTGTTGCTGTTGTTGGATGTTGATCAACTTGTAATAAGCTCCATTCTTGTTCTCACAAAGGCTCGAATGAGTCCCTTGTTCTACTATCTTACCATCTTGGATCACTGAGATTTGGTCACAGTTTTTAATGGTGGAAAGCCTGTGAGCAACCACCACAGTTGTTCTGTGCTTCATCAGTCTATCTAAGGCTTGTTGAACGACGCGTTCTGATTCGACGTCGAGAGCGCTCGTGGCTTCGTCGAGTAGTAGGATTTCTGGGTTCTTCAGGACTGCTCGTGCAATGGCTATCCTCTGTCGTTGCCCACCCGAGAGTTGGATCCCTCTTTCACCGACTTTTGTTGAGTAGCCTTCAGGGAGAGCACTGATGAAGGTATGCGCGTTGGCGAGCTTTGCTGCTTCGAATACTTCTGCTTCGGAAGCTCCTTCTTTCCCGTAAAGAATGTTCTCGTAAATTGACGTGGCGAAAAGAGCCGGTTCTTGTTGGACGAGGCCTATGTGCTTTCTCAGAGATTTGACCTTCAGTTTTTTTATATCTCTCCCTGCAAGATAGAGGGATGGAAATGAACGTGCTATTTTCAAATCGATTGATAAATAGCCTGATCTATTCTGATAGATCGAAAGAGTCGATACGTCTCGAGAGGGAAACTTACCGTCAATCATAACCCTCCCAGCTATCGGATCGTAGAATCGCAGTATAAGGGCTAGAACAGAGCTTTTCCCTGAGCCGCTTTGCCCAACTAAGGCTATACTCTTGCCTGATCTCACTTTAAGATTGAAATCTTTGAAGATCAAAACATCTGGTCTTGATGGATAGCTGAACTCGACATTCTTCAGCTCAATGGTACCCTCCACGACATTTAGCTCTTCACCGACATCGCCCGACACCTCTGTTTGTCGATCCATCACCTCGAACACTGATGCCACCATCTGATTTCCCTTTAAAAGGTCAGGGGCTAGTGCCAAAGTCTCACCCATTGCTAATGCTGTTACTATCAAAACCATGAATGCTTTCATAATAGATTTGAAGCTAGCAAGCCCCTGTCCCATCAAGACCGAACCGTACCTGCATAAATCACATACCGAACCGGGCGATGTAGTTGAGGCAATAGTAAAATTAATTCTGTTTTATTCAACATGTTCTTAAATCACATACCACAAGGCCAAACCATAAGATGAAAAGATGAAGAACTGCGAGACACCGTAGAATATGCCAGCGATCTGTCCACGTTTAAGTGAACGTCTCGAGGGCTCAACAAGCTCCTTAGCATATAGATCGAGGACCTTCTCCTCGGAACAAAATGCAGCAACAGTTCTAATATTGCCAACTGCCTCACCGGCCAGTGTATTGGCTTTCAGGTATGCTTTACTCAAATTTCCACCATAGCCTTGCATAAAAAGTTTCTAAAACACATGGAAAATGAAGTTTCATGAGGAAATATTCGAAATTTCGGGAACGAAATAAGCAACTTAGAGAAGTCGTGATAGAAAACCTCGCTAATGTGACCGCTAATGATCAATGGATAAGTAGCCAGGACAACTAAAGTGATTCTCCAATTCAATATGAATGCAATGATGAACGATGCAACGACCAAAGCTAGATTCTGCAGAAGAATTGTCGAGCGGTCGACAACTATAGTTCGTAACAAAGTTGCATCAGTTTCTAGGCGTGACGAAAGCATAGCACTCGTGTTGTCTATATCATCGAACCATCCTATCTCGTTTCTCAACATAGCTGCAATAAACCAAAAGTTGCTCAGAGAAAACGAGTTTCATGAGTTGATCAAAATATGTGTTCAGATTGCAGTATACCATGGAACATCTTTTCTCGAACTCGAAGAGTGAGTCGCTCTCCCATAATTCCGAAACAGAGATGCTCGACTGCATGAAAAATGACGGTTAAGACTGCACCACCACAGAAAAGCAAAGAAATCTTCTTGATCTCATGTTGAGTTGTATTCCAGTCCATATAAAAAGCAACAAGAGCCTGAGAGACCCCAAGAGCAAAAAGGGGCATCTGGGATCCCGTAACGAACGCTCCAATGACGCCAACGACTCCATACATCCAATCCGGTCCAACCATGGAGTATAGTCTTTTTGCTGAAACATGCTTCGGTTTCTCCATTTCCATTCCATCAACTCCAATCCGTCCCAGAGATTCTTTCTCAGAGCGAAAACTCGCACCAAAGCTTGTTGTAGTGCGAGATAATTCTCGCGAGTACTTTATACTACAAGGCCATATTCGAAAACAGTTAAACAAGAAGCATTCGAGAAACTCATTGATTCATGTAAAACGATGAAATGAACTTGAATTTGTCGATTATTGTTGTATGGTAGGCTAAAGTGAGAACGAAATACCTTGGTGGTCGACCCAACTGTCCAATCGAAGGATGGCGTTGCAGAGATGCCGTTTCTTGAAACTGTACAAGTGATGCATAAACACTGTCCGGGTTTGAAATGAGCTCATCATGGCTTCCAGTTTCAACTATCTTCCCCTCTTGAACGACAGCAATCACATCTGCATTCCTTATGGTAGATAGACGATGAGCGACCACTACAGTCGTTCGACCAACCATGACACGATCGAGTGCTTCTTGAACACTCTTCTCGGATTCTGCATCTAGTGCACTGGTTGCCTCATCCAACAGCAGGATCGATGGATTTTTAACGATTGCACGAGATATTGCAATCCTTTGCTTTTGTCCCCCAGATAATTGGACCCCTCTTTCACCAACCTAGAACAACACATCTAATATTATTTTCAACTCAAATTCTCATCGTTATTTCTCAGAGATATATAATATTACCTGAGTTTCGAATCTTTCAGGGAGATTGTTTATAAACGATAACGCCTCAGAAAGTTTCGCTGCACGTGTGATGTCCTCGAGCGTAGCATCGTCTTTTCCATATAGAATGTTCTCCCTAATGCTCGTAGCAAAGAGGGCAGGCTCTTGATT